GGGGGTTGGACTAGACGACCCTGGAGGTCCCTTCCCACTCTATGAGTCTATGATTCTATAATTCACCCAGGCTGGCTGTGGGCACGCCAGCACCTCTATCAGGCAGAAGCGCCTGAGATCCTCCCCCTACCCTTTTCCTACACCTGACTTGGAGGCGAAGGGAAGGGAGAGGGGGGAAAGAATGGATCCCAGGTGCTTCTGCCTATCAGAGGGGCTGGTGCACACTTCCGGTGATGTCAGGGGGTGTGGCATATGCTAATGAGCTCCTGCAGCTCTTTTTCTACGAAATAACCCCTGAGCATAACTCATTAGCATCTTATTTGCATATGCCACACACCCTGACATCACCGGAAGTGTGTCAGCAGGCAAAACCCACCGCTCAGGCTCCACTGGACTGTTTTGGATTGCTAGCTATTGAGGGGGGGGGGACGTGCAGATCTGTCCTCGCACAGGAGGGAGAGCTTGTACCTGAATAAAACTTGGTCTTAAAGGTGCCACTGGGGGCTGGGGGGGGGCTCTGCAGCTTACCTGGCTGCTTTTTGCTCTGACTGAGGGCTGCTGGGAGCAGGGGGTGGGGCTTGTTGCATGTGCACCCCCACCCTTCCCTGGGCTCCTGTGTGCTCCTGCAGGAAATGACCCCTGGGCTTAGCGCAGAGCATGTTTTGTATGCAGAATGTCTGTATCCCAGTTCAAAGGATCAGTATTAGGTGATGGAAAAGACTTCTACTTGAGACCTTGGACAGCTGTTGCCAGTCAGCATAAACAGTACTTACCTTGACAAACCAATGGTATGACTCAGCATAAATAGAGAGCAATTCTTCAACCTCACCTCACTTATAATATGGTGCTCGTAATGTTACTAAGAGGTGCCGGTGAATTCCATAGAGAAAGAACTAAAGAGAATCACTGAGATAATACTACTACACCGATTCGTAAGGCTTTGAAGAACAATCTGGCCCTACTATATCATTCGCGCTGGTACATTTACCTGAGCAGTTGTATATGTCATCACACTAAAAATAAAAGGCATCCAGGAAGTTCCAAAGTAGTAGATAATGATCCAGGTGGCAAAGTCCAACAGAATGATGTGTAGGACCATGAGGGCAAAGAAGAGATAATTGGAATTCATGAGTCCCATCTTCTTGACAGTATCATAGAGATCACGAAAATCCTTTAACAGCAACTCCTATGGGAGGAATCAACAGTAAAGCTCTTTTCTGGGTATGTGTAATAGGAAAAACATTCTGTGTTAAAATGGTTTAGGCCCATCTATCTATAACCCTACACAGAAGTTTGTTGTGAGAGAGCATAAGTTAGCTGCATGGGAGGTGTACTGTAGGGCTCAGTATTATTCAGTATCAGTATTCCGTATCTGTGTACTGCCACAGGGTTCTGTATTATGACCAGTATTGTTTAACATTACATGAAGTCCTTGGGAGAGATCATCTGTGGATTCGGGGTGGGGTGTCACCAATACGCTGATGACACCCAGCTCTACCTTTCCTCAGTTAAACTACCAGAAGCAGCTATTTTCATCCTGGGACAGTTTGTTATAGCCATAGTTAAGCTGCTACAGGTGAACAAGAATTTTGACAAGACTGAGATGATACTGGTCTGTAAAACTGAAAATGTTGAAGGTATCATCCTCACTTTTGATGGGGGTCGGTTTTGTTTGAAAACAGTTCAGAATTTGGGTATCATGTTGGTACCTGCTCTGTTAGTCGAAAAACAAGCAAGTGCCATCTTCCATTTTCAGCGTGTGTAAAAGATGGCACCCCACATTGACTCAACTGACCTGGCCATGGTGATCCATGACTCAGTAAAGTTAAGATGAGACTATTGTACTTCTCTCTGCATGGGACTACCCTTGAAGACAATTTGGAAACTCTAGTTGGTTCACAATGCACAGGCATGTCTATAATAGGAGGCAAAGAATAATACTCATATCACACCTGTGCTCCAGACACTTCGTTGGCTGCCTATTCGTTACTGGGTTGAATTCAAGGTGTTAGTTACTGGGTTGAATTCAACCTTTACGCTGCAATCTTATCCTTTGTCTACTCAGGAGAATTCCCACTATGTTTGATAATAGTGTGGATGATTTCATACTTGAAGTTCTTCATGGCCTGGGACACACCTATCTACGGGATATTTCCTGGTACATCCTCCCATGGTAGATCATGAGAACAAACTCGGCTAAAGTCCCATCCTGCAGATCCCCCCACCCCGCAGGTCCTGGCCAAGAAGCTCCCTGGATATGCCTATAGGAGTAAGCTCACCTGTCACTTCCTCCCATATGACTGCCAGACATGTTAAAGAGCTCTGGACCCAGCCAACAGCAGAATGTGAGGAGGCTTATGCCTGTTGTAATTATTGTCAGAGTCTAACCAATTGACACAGGCCTGTCTGTTGTGTCTTTCACACCACTGCCACCTGCATCCAAGCCAAGAAGCCCTTGCACAAGAAGAAGAAGAGAAGAGATTGGGTGTATACCCTGCCCTTCACTTGGAGTCTCAGAGTGGCTTACAAACTCCTTTCCCTTCCCCTCCCCCTCCCCACAACAGACACCCTGTGAGGTCGGTGGGGCTGAGGGAGTGACAAGAGGCACAGGCTCACTTGTCCCCTTCTTCTCCATCTGCCACCAGTCAGGAGTGGGCTAAGCAGACTAGAACCTAACTGATGCCAGCACAGGAGAACACAGTGGGCAAGCCTATGCTCATCATTGCTGCCAATGGTTGTGTTTGAGTGACCATCCAGATCAACAATCTGGCAAGTACCATTCGGCCCGATTCAGGTCCTAGGACCAGAATATACAGATGTATCTTTGAGGTTGTGGGTTAAGATAACTACTCAGTATATCCAACTGAGATCAAAGTGCATCATAAACACAGCCTTTGAGACACTCACATTTTTGCTGGGCTCACAACAAGGCTGATCTGGTGCCAGCTCTCCAATTAGCAGTGAGTTCAAGTATTTCTTCACTAAAGCTTCATTCTTGTGAAAAGCTGAGAAGGCATCCTAGGAAGCACAATAGAAAAGAAACATGAAAGAAAGAGAAAGCATGCCAGAAATATTTCTCATATGAACAATCAGGAAAGCTATTTTACAATGTCAACCACAAAGACACTGGTGTCAGGTAGCCTTGTCATAAGTCTGGAATGTGGAGGGGTGCCCTCCCGTTTTCCGTCACAGCTCTCCCTGGCTCACCAACTGTTGCTATCTGATGCTTGACCTTGTAAATGCTACAGCTGCAGCTTTTCTCGGCTGGGAAAGTTAACGGCTTTTTTGCCTTGTCTGCTTGCTTTGCCCGTGTGCGAGAGATGTATCCACTGGCTTATGCTTACCGGATGTTTGATTCTAGTATAAGTCAGAGGCCCTTGCATAGGCGGCCATTCCTGAAACAAGCTGTACACATGTTTCTAGTACTGGATTTACCAATAAATAGTTATCTTCTTATGAAGTCCTGAGTTGTGTAACCTGACTAAGGACCCTGACAAAGTGTCAGGAATCTTCATCCCTCGACCCGCATCTCTCACGCTGAGATGAGCGACAACAAGGAGACCAACATCCCGGTTTGGACCAGAGCGGATACCCAAGTCCTTCTTGGGGAGCCGAGAACTATGTCTGCCACGATGGCCTTCCTCCCGCCGGGTGTGGGGAAGGACGGGGTCAACCCGCTACTGGAGCCCTTCAGAGGGGCGACAGCCAGAGTGACCACAAGATTGAAGGGGCTGTGCTGGGGACGGTTCAGCGCAGACACTCATGAAACCTGGACTCTCACTTCCCCTGCAGGGCTGTGACGTGAAAGTCATTATGATTGGGCTCCACAGAAGGTGAGCTACGAAATGGAGGATGGTGGTGCTACCAAGAAGGGTGAGGAGGCCGAGGAGTTTGTAGGCACCCAGCTGGAGTTACTCGAACACGGCTATGATAAACTCCTGCAGATGATTGAGACGTCGTTCCGGAATCTGCCGGGGATGGTGGCGGAAGCAGTGCAGTGGGAAGTACAGTGCCGGGTGCCAGCACAGCCAGCACGCCCTGCTCAGGTGCCACCACGGCTCCTGCCTGCTCAAGCTGGCAATCCCCTTCCAGGGAACGTGGTGCCAGCACAACCGGGCTGGGAAGTGCATCGCCCTACGGAGCCGCTAGATGCCACATTTGATGGAACCCCCGAGTATCTGGCGTTCTTTGTGGTATGGGCCCAGAAGTTCATTGTGAACTGGGGCCACTTGGTTTATTTATCAGTTTTACATAATGTTATAACAACTTACACATACATCTCTTCTATACATTTGAGTCTAGGTGTCCCATACCTTATTGATCCAATTGTATAAACGAGCCCATCTTACATAAAAATTATTGTCATTCTTCCCTTGAAGTATTAATTTGTCCATTTCTGCTATTTCTAACACCTTGTAAACTACTTCTTCTCTGGTGGGAAGTTCTTCTTGCTTACAATATTTGGCCAATAATATTCTAGCAGTTGTTAGAACATAAATTAACATATATTTATCATTCTTCTTATGGCCATCCAGGATTATATTCAATAAAGCTATTTCAGGAGATAAAACCAAATTTATATTCATAATTTCTAATATTAGTTTCTGTATCATCTTCCAGTAGTTATTTACTCTATCACAGCGCTACCACATGTGGAAAAAGGTTCCCACATTTGTTTTATATTTCCAACAATTTTTGGATATTGAACATTTTGCTAACCTATCCGGTGACCAATACCAACAATGGAATACTTTATAGATGTTTTGTTTATAATTAATAGCTCTCATATAAAGGATTTCCAAGTCTCTGCACATTTATTTATATCCATACAATAGCCTATATCTTTTATCCAAGACACCATTATTGCGTTCACGGTTTCCTCTAGCATGTATTCTTCTAACAAAAAATTGTAAAGGTTCTGCACCATTTTATCATTTGTTGACAGCCAAATCTTATCTAGTTGCATCTTGCATTCTTGAAAGCCTATTTTCATATCTTTAGAGTATCTGGATTGAAGTTGTAGATTTTCCCACCAAGTTAATTTAATTTTATACAGGGATGATAAACTCTCCTCTGATTTTAACTTATTATTCTTATCCAACAATATCTCATAACTTACTCTATCGCACGTGTTGATAAGGGAAGGCTTTATATATGCTTCTAAGGGGGGTATCCCTTTGGCATCTTGCTACTATCTATCTTTTATATCATTCCAAGTCCTTAGAAGCGCTCCTCTTATCATATGGTGTTTAAAGTTAGAATATATCTTGTCCTTCCCATACCACACGTACGCATGCCACCCCATATTACAGTCATGCCCTTCTAAATTTAGAATTCTAATATTTTCCAGGCTTAACCATTCTTTTATCCAACCTAGGGCCGATGCCTGCTAATACAGCTTCCAGTTGGGTAGCCCAAAACCTCCCCTTTCCTTTCTTCCATTTAATCCTTGCCCATTTAGGGTACCAGATAAACGTTTTGATAATTTTGTCAGGTTCCACAGCCAACAACTGAGTACACACTTGTCAGAAAGGTTATACTTTATTGCAGAGATATAGATGCATTAACATGGTCCCTGTTAGGAATGGCAACGTTTCTACAAGCACAATGGGATATAGGGTATTCGTATGCACACACCCCTTATCCATAGGCCAATTGGCCTGACTCCTGCGCACGGGAGAAGGGGCCCCAGACCGTTAGAGCCGAAGCTGGGAATCGAAAGCGATCCCACGGCTACATGATGCCCAGACACCACACCGGCAATCTCCAAGGTCATTGATAATAACGCACTACAGAATCAAAGAAAGAATGCAGCAGCAACTTGTACACAGGTCAAGCAACTGAACTCAAGTCCATAAACATTATGGCAGCATAGCTGACAAATTTTATCCATTTCAGTAAAGAATTGTATATTTTTTAACGGGTATATTTTGGGCTAAAAAAAGAAACTTCAGCAAAATGTTCATTCTTGTAGTCGCTATTCTGCCTAATAAAGATAGCTGCATATCTTTCCACTGTTGTAAATCCTTTCTAATTTCTTCAAGTATCTTATAATAATTGTCTTCTGTAAGTGTAGTGTTCTTACTAGATAATATAATTCCTAAATATTTAACTTTCTTCACTATCTCCACTTCTGTTATCTTTTGTATTTCTTGTATCATACTGGGTATACAGTTTTTTCAAATTGATTTTGAATCTGGCAACATATCCGTATTCCTGTATAATTTCTAATAAATGTGTAATTGATACTATTGGATTTTCCGTTATGAAAACAATATTGTCCGCAAAAACTAATAACTTAAATGCTTCCCCTTTCACCCTTAGGCCTTGTATTTGAGGTCATTCTCTAACATTATCATTCAAAGTTTCAAAAGCAAATATAAATGTAGTGGCGATAAAGGACAACCCAGTCGTGTACCCTTTTGGATCTCAATGTTTGATGTCATATCTCCATTAATAATCACATTGACATATTGTCTCTCATATATTGCTTGGATGATTGTTATAAATTGGGTTCCCCAATCCCAGACCTTAAGTTTGCCCTCCTGTTTTCCGTCTCAGCTCTCCCTGGCTCACCAACTGTTGCTATCTTATGCTTGACCATGTATATGCTACAGCTGCAGCTTTTCTCGGCTGGGAAAGTTAACGGCTTTTTTGCCTTGCCTGCTTGCTTTGCCCGCACGCGAGAGATGTATCCATTGGCATATGCTTACCAGGGGGATGTATGATTCTAGTATAAGTCAGAGGCATTTGCATAGGTGACCATTCCTGACACAAGCTGTACATGTGTTTCTAGTACTGCATTTACCAATAAACAGTTATCTTCTTATGAAACCCTGTGTTGTGTAACCTGACTGAGGACCCTGACAATTGGTTAAATATGATCAGGTAAGGCGGGTTGTGCCCTGACCAAGCTAGCCGGATCTTGTCATATCTCACAAGCTAAGCAGGGTTAGCCCTGGAAGTTCAGGGGTGCTACACAGAGGCAGGGAATGGCAAACCACCTCTGTTAGTCTCTTGGCTTGAAAATCCTGCAGGGTCATCATAAGTCGGCTGTGGCTTGATAGCAAAAAAAAAAGTGGCATAAGAATGATGTCTATTACAGATTACATTTACAAGAAGTTCAAGCAAGAAAAGTTTAATAGCATAAAATATAAGAGTGAAAGAAATAAAATGAAACACTAAAACCTCTTCACCAACCTACTCCTAGTTTTCCCCATTCTCCTATGTAACAGCTCTGTGTTTGCTCTAAGATCCTGGCAAATGGATCAAAGTTGTGATGGAAATGATCTCTGAACTTCATTCAAAGCTATTATGACCACAGGGTCATATTACAAGAAGAAGAAGAAGAAGAAGAAGAGATTGGATTTATACCCCGCCCTTCACTACCCAAGGGAGTCTCAGAGCGGCTTACAAACTCCTTTCCCTTCCCCATCCCACAACAGACACCCTGTGAGGTAGGTGGGGCTGGGAGAGCTCTGACAGAAACGGCTTTTCTTCAATAACAACTGTGCCAGAACTACGGCTTGCCCAAGGCCATCCATCATCCTTAGAGAAACATCTGTTGCTGGATAATAAACTTTTGTAGTGCTGTGTAGTATGAAGGGAGGGGAGTGAAAGAGGGTGAGAGGGTGAATGCCTGACTGCATGACTGTTGCATTATGGGATACTGACCTATTGCCCATATAATACCTAACCCTTGATCTGTTCTTCGGTCTGAACAAGAGATCTCTCTTGTGCACATCTAAATCTCTGCTTCCAATAAAGCTTTCATACAAGACTATTAGACTGAGAGTGGATTAACTCAAGGGTCTGACATTGGGGAGGGGAGGGGCCTCAGAAGGGTATAATGCCATCCACTCCACTCTCCAAAGCAGCCATTTGCTTCAGGGGAACTGATCTGTGCAGATCAGTTGTAATTTTGGGAGATCTCCGGGCCCTACCTGGAGGTTAGCAATCCTACATTGGATGTTGTCCTTTGTCCCAACTCCTGCATTGTCCTTTGTCCCAAGTCAGGA